TGAATCTACGCTTTCGTCAGCCACTGAGAGCCTTTGAAGTGGCCCTGCTCGCTGATGTTTTGGGCGCTTCCAGCGAGGTGTTTATGGAAAATATCGAAACCATGCAAACTCTTGGTATTGTGTAGTGGCTGGTGTAAACGTACTTATATTGGTAGTGATTGTAAGGACGAGATAGTTTGACAGCCACGGACGCTTCATCATAGAAACAATCCAAGTGTGATCTGTTCGAGTATAAAACTTGCTTGGAGCTGAAGAAATTGGATGCCCGCATTCGTCGGTATTTGATGTTTCTAATTTTTTCCTTCAATAAAGAGCTTTGCTTGAACCGGAACAACATGTGGATAGGGTAATATCAGGGCTCTAGGATATGGGAAAAAAATCCCATTTATCTGCCTTCTATGGTCTCTGCTCCATGTGACCGAAGGTTGTTATGGCTGCTTCTTGAGCGCATCGCTAACTCAGAGCTGCACCCAGCTTCCTTTCTATATCTTTCGGGTTCATAGACGTTTCTAGCAGTCGCCTGCTTTATCACACCATAACCGTGCTACGAATTCTTGCTCGCTGCGAATCTCACAACGGTCATTGACAGCGGCTCCTGCCCCATTACCAGGAGTCGCAGTTAGTGATCATTTCAAAGCTCGCTTCTCCACTCTGATGGTTGGACTGTCAGGACCGTCTGAAACTCTGAAGCACTGCTATTCTTCGGCCGCTATACCCAGAAGTACTTGGAATAATGCTTCTCCAATGAAGTGACATTAGGTTTTTCCACAAAAATGTTGTGTTCGCGATTGAATTTTCATTTTTAAGTCAATCACTAACATTTCAGGACGATAAAAAAGTTGACATTGAAACCGTGCTGAACCATCCAAGACTTGAAAAGCTAGAATTTGTATTAAAAGAGCGTCTAGAAAAGAATCAGAAAGTCGTGCTCGATGTTAGTATTTTTTCAGTTTTTTTCATAGCACTGCAGGTTTCTCGTTCGGTCCACAACTTCTGAAAAACGAAGCTTAGGTGATCTACATTGGCCTTATCAGCACTTCACTCGGTGGACTTTATCAGACGAGCTATACTCACACGGATGGAACCGTAAAGTAAGTCTACTTGTTCATTCACATAGCTACGGAAAACATATTCTCAGGGTTATACAACGAATTTGATCCTCTCCTATAATATAAAGCAGAATTGTGGTGTGTTGTGGTGTTTTATGTTTGCGTGTCACCGAAATTGGGGACTCCCAGTGGAAAATCACTTTTGGCGACAACGGATCAAGCATTGGGTTGTTGTGGCATGGGCCAACATTTACAGAACACCTACGAGATAACCTCAGCTTCGCCCACAATGGACGGGGCGTAGCCGAATGAAACGTGCCAAACGTAAAAAAATTTTTCAAAACGCATTCCTGAGCAACCGAAGGGTGGTAATATTTTAAAGGCGACAACAGAAGCTAGATGATATTAAGCGGCGAGATACACCAACAAAAAAGTTAAAAGGGCCAAATGTTATAATTTCGATCTATTTAGGCAATTTGAGGACATAGTAGTGAACATGAGGTCGAAATCGAAAATTTATAACTTATTTGTATTTATTTATTTGTTTATTTACTCATTTACCTGTTATTTATTGTACAACAACACAAATACACCCATACTTCCACATCAGTTCATCCACTCTCCATCCAGTACCCACTTCCCACTCGTTGCCTTTACGAAATTTTACCAGTCGTACTAGCGGGAGGTGGACGGGTGGCTGGGGTATATACCAGATTGGGAACGCTAATGTTCTGGGATTGCAAAAAAAATTTCTCTTCGCCGAAGCAGCGATCGACTGGGCCTCAGTTGGAGCGGCAGACCCTTTCACACGCATAAGGAGGATCGACCGCGAAGCGGCGATCGACTGGTTACAAAAGAAGTGTCAGAAAGCTAAGACTACGAGTGGCGACAGTATCGAGTTTTTCATCGAGTTTTTCGAGCGGACGCCAGTAACGTCTCCTTTCGTCCCTGCAACGTGCAAGAGTTGTCCAATAAGTTCGCTGTGCTCAAAGGACACGATGAGCTCCGTGCCACTTCGTGAGAGCTTTCACGAACACGTCTGACCTATCGCACGCATGCGGGTCTCAGGTGTTCGCCATAACTATCCGTGGAATCCGGCGGTAATCGCCCCGTCAGCGGTCGTCTTGAAACGCATGAGTGTCCGACCACCTGATCTTCGAAACCTGGCCAAAACACGGCTGCTTCTCTGAGGCAACGTCGCGGAGACGCAAAGCTTGCGGTCTCTCTCACCTTGTGTGTAGAGAAACTCGAGCATCGCCCTCGGTGGCGCGAGCCCTCGACAGCTGACCGCAGCCTCATCCTGCTATCCATGATGTCCGAACTCCTCGAGACGCTAAAGTTGCAAGCCAGAACGGACCCGCAGGATCCGACACAAAGTGGCTACCCGCTATTACCTTCGTCTCCGCCCTACTCCCTTATACCTTCTGACAGGCTCCCAAGTGCTCCCTTCCTCCCTGCTAGGCTCTGCTCTAAGTCGTTTCACTCACATGACGTTCTAGACCCAAGTCACCACTAAGACCTAGCGTAGAATTAAGGCATCAGAAACCTATTCGCTTCTCCACTGAACATCCGTACCCTTAGATTTCAAGCCCTACAAACAATTTTTCACAGCGCGCTGTCAAATCAAGCAGCCGTTTGCTCTTTTGTTCCGCCTAGTGTTGTCAGAACGATTCGTCAGCCAAGCGTACCGATTTGGTTAGCAGCGGCCGTCGCTCCTCACCCCCATCAAGTAGACGCCATGAATGTTCTTAATAAAGTGCTGAGAGCCGAAATTGGGTCGCCCTTTGACCCTCTCTGCACATCGACGATCATCTCTTTGGAGAATGGCTGAAGATAGTGGTCGTGAAGTGCTGTAGAGCTCACGAAGAATTGAGATGTACTGAGTGGCAACACCCTAATTGTCTAGGGCTTCGATAACCGCTTCTATCTCACGAATCAAAGGCCTTCCTTCGATTACGTGTGACGGAATTAGTATCTTCGTGATACATTCAGTAAGTGTGTAGCATGAAGATGTGATCGACCGTACCGAATCTTTTTCGAAACCTGCTTGCTCGCATAGCTGCCTTTGCCTAGTGTTCTGTCAATCCTTCAGTATGACTCGTGTGAAGAGTTTGTAGACTATAGACAGCAGGCATAATGGACGATAGTTGCCAATCTCGCTTCTTGTACAGCAACACAGTCCTACTGGTTTTCCACGAGGTAGGTACCTTGCATTCTGACAGGTAGCGCGTGAAGAGTCGAGCCGTGTATTGAGAGGACTGGCGGAAGATTCTATTCATATGTTTTTTTTTTCTTTCTAAAGACAAAATTTTTTTATTGGTTGTAAAAAAAAAAAAAAATTTTCTTTCTTTTTTTTTTATTTTTTTTTTTTCTTCGGGTCTGGCCCTCCGGACGAACCGTCAGTGTGCACGTCCTTACCAACGAGATGGCGTGTCACATTTCGGAAGGGGAGAATGCAGGAACGACGCTAATCAATCCCTTTTGCTCACCAAAGAGATCGGTAGAAGTCGTGTATGACCATTTCCATTGCACTTCTGGATACGTGATTGTTCCGTGGCAGACCGGTCGCCTTGGTCTTACAGCTGGCGAAGTCGCAGCGGGCGTTGCGGATGCTATTTCCAGCTGTGCGGGCTCTACCAGTACTGCTGCTCTTTTCTCTCTAACGTGTTCCTCTATCCCTTCTTTGAATAGCTTCGCGAGCTCAGACGTCAGCAAGTAGTTGCCTGCGGCTGTGCGGCTCCACGTTGGCGAATTAGTTTGAGACTTTTCAGAGTGAAAGGCTTCTTGAGTTATCTTGTGCCTCTCTCTCTCTCTCTCTCTCTCTCTCTCTCTCTCTCTCTCTCTCTCTCTCTCTCCCTCTTTCTTTCTCCCTTTCTTTCTCTCTCTCTCTCTCTCTCTCTCCTTGTATCGAAAAGCGGAATCTTGTGCGAAGAAGACGGTGGTCGGATCCTCGTGGAACTTAGGAGCAACAGCGACGTCGATCAGGCAAAACCATAGATTGAAAATGATGTGGTCGACCTCATTATGGAAGCAGGAGACCCCCATGTCCAACGTAGAGATTAAGGTTTCTGGCTGCTAGTTACCATGGATGGTATGGGTCGATATGATAAACTCAGACAGCCTTTCACCCTGCTCATTCCACTCTATTCCGTGAGTTCTCGATGTGAAGTTTTTCAGCCATTCTTCTTGCTCTGATGACTTTGAAGAAGTTATGATCTTCCTTGTAGAACCTTCCAATTCCGCGTAGAATGCTCCGAGCTCATCCCCGACATGGCTTGATGCATAGGCGACGAAGATTGTCAAAGCTATCGGATCGTCAGATTCTCGCACGGATCAATGTTTATGCCCAGTGCGTGTTGACGTAGACGCCCTCACCCTCAACGCCTCGCATGTTCCGAGGAACAGTTCTTCTCCAGTTTCGTATACGGCGTGTAGCGGGCGATGCCTCCTCGTCTCGGTCAGCCGATGACGTCGTACTTGATCTTCCTGGCTTGCAACATCAGATCTTCGATGTGAGCTTCCGATGCAAGCGTCCGTGCGTTGAAAGTACAGATCGTCATCCTAGTCCTGGGCGACTTAAATCTCCGTTGGCCCTGTGATTCTTGCAGCCTCGCCCAAGCGGTCCCGGCGGATCCGCCCTGTCGGGGTCCCCTCAAGTTCAGGAGAAAAAGACCCATATTTACCACTGTTTCCGGCATATGAATGAACTGACCGCGGTAGCTTTCCAGGCTCTAACGTGGCCCCTTCCACTTTAGTGCGGTTTGAAACAGTTCAAACCGTTTACCCTCACGCCGCGTTGAGGCAGTGGATAGGATGTGTTGGAGGGTGGGGGGACGACATAGCGTAAAAACAATCCTTATCTAATAGTTTTCTGTACCTTTTGAGGCACTCACATTGATCTGTGTAGCTGAATGAATCACATATGATTTCAGAATCGCAGCAACCTCCAAGATGGAGCCAACATACGCTCGCCGAATGGTGCCTTGCCTAGATGAACCGAGTTACAAAGCCAACTGGACCGTAACTGTGATTCATCCGAAGGGCACAAGAGCCGTATCGAATGGCATTGAAACGAACGGGGAAGGGTAAGCATATGTGTAATCAGGAATCCTCGTCATTCATGAAGTGAATTACTAACACATCTCACGAATAGTATAACGTCTATTTATACCGTATAATGTATCTCCCTCCCTGTACAATATAGCCAGCTCCGCAGCCGCATAGGAAGCGGGTGCTGGCGTAGCTGCACCAGAGACTTGAGGGTGGAGGGGTGCTGGCGTAGCTGCACCAGTGAATGTGGTAACGTCCACTCTCAGTGGCTGTTAAGAGATAGGAAACGGGAAAGACTCTGTAAGAACGGTGTTAGATAGGCGCTATATCAGCAAGTGACCGCTAATACTTTGCTGTGCGCTAGTACAATGCACAAGACTGAAAGCCGTTCTGCGATTATAACTCGTGGGCGCTCATATGAACTCATTAAATCAACTACTCCACCCACTAATGAAGAAAAGTGTGGTCAAAAAGTGGTTCTAGGTGACTGCGGGGTTAAACGTGTTTCACAAAAAGCAGCACCCTGCCCGCAGGTGAGAGACTAAAGACAGAGGATAAGGTATATTCACTTTAAATTCACCCCGCTTTTCAAAACCAAAATTCACTTTTTCGACACCACCATTCACCCTTTCGTCAAAACCAATTTCAACACTTTTCAAACCAAATTCACCCGTTTTCAAACCAAATTCACCCACCTTCCAAATCGAATTCACCCACCTTCCAAATCGAATTCACTACACTTATAGGCTGCGCAAGTCATCTACCAAATCACGCCAGACACTACTGCGGGTCCCGCCCCCTGGAAATGCCCACTTGCTTTTTGCGCAATTTTTTTTTCAAATTTTGCATTTTTGGACTGCTGCGTGAAGCCCCGCCCACTGTTGGAGGCTCCGCCCACTTTGGAGAAGCCCCGCCCACTTTTCAAAAATGGTGTAAATCGGCAGTATAGGCCATAAAAAAAGAGGGGACGAATTTTGGTCTTGGCTTTCATGCTAGGGTCTGCGTTCGTTCACATGGCGAACTAAACTTGCCTGATTTCTGTTCGGCGAGTGACTGTGACGTGAGTGACACGAGTAGTGTCTGGCATGATTTGGAGTGAATTCGATTTGGAAGGCGGGTGCATTCAATTTGGAAGGTGGGTGAATTTGGTTTGAAAAGAGGTGAGTTTAAAGTGAAAATGGAGGAGGGAATTATGGAATTGTGTAAAAGAGAGCGAACGGCATTTTGGTCCTACAAATATTGACGCAGACCGTACAGCCCGATTTATCAGTATGGGTACTGCGCTGAAAACCCCTCCAGATGGTAAGGTGGCTTGTGGATTTGGGTCACGCTCCTGTGGGCGTCAATTACACTGCTGCTTATAATGATTAAGGCGCCCTTGTTACTCCTTGTGGGGCCATACAAATGCGGCAACCCCAATGCCGGATTCACTGTGCAAGGAAGATATTCTAAAGTGCCCGGCGAATGTTCTATGTCTCACTCCTCTAGTAACAGTAGTACACGACGGATACGGATAAGAGGTTACACGCGGATAAAAAGTATACCGCAAAAGTTCTGTAGGGCCCAGAATGTTAAAATTTAGGTTGAAATGGGTTGAAAGGCCTCAAGAATAATTCCGCATATTTAAATTGAACAGCGAATGCGCGTATATCAAGAAGGGCAGAATAAGGATCTCTTCGCCCATAATCCTTTGCACAAAAAGCTAAGGCTGTGCTTTTTTTCCCAATTGGGCACCAAAAATCAGGAGTTCAAACTCTCTTATAGGACACATTAAATAGAGCCCATTTTGTAGAGGAAGAGCGAGGCGACCTGGATCATTTCTGAATTCGAAACCACTCCCAAATGTCGTCGTACTTGTTGGCCGCTTATCGTCTCTGAATTTGAATTATCGAAGGTTTCACAAAAACAGGCGTACGGGTACGATCATTTTCCATCTATTTGTTCACAGTGTCTAGAAGCTAAGCTTATCATATTAAGTTCCGAATATGGTCACGTCCAGAGGCAAAAGAGATGACACACTACGCTCTATATTCTGGCATCAGATGCTTGGAATTCTACGAAGACTTCTTTGGCATCAAATTCCCTCTAAAGAAACAAGGTGTGTACCTAAAAATTTAATCACGAAATACAGCGCCAAGAAAGTGGTTAGCTTTGTTCGTTCAACCCAGTATATTCCTTCAGATATGGTTGCACTACCTGACTTCCCTTCTGGTGCCATGGAAAACTGGGGACTCATCACTTATAGGTAACTTTTTTCATAGAAAACAGAATCACTTACCTCAACACTCTATGAAAAAACGTGGTCTGAGACGTTTTGGAGACAAACTACTGCCAGATCTTCTCAAAGGGATACAATTCGGCGAAAATTTGGCATAATTTTGAAGAAACAAGTGGTCGAAGTATCTGAGACAGAAACCTTTCTAGTCGTAGAGTTACCGAAGTCGCTGGATGGTTTTGTAGTTGGCGTCCTGCGCTGACAGCGTCCTCTTTCTCAAAAGCCACTGAGCCTCTTTGACACGACATGACCTTTTCACGCTTAGATCTGGTGCCAACGCAGAAAAGTAGTTCGAGGTTCGTGAAGAGTATAGTCTACAGTCGTCATCCATCCGTGCCCTAGGATTAGGAACAAATCGAGGACGCGGACGCGGGTGAAATCAGCGACGCCGCGTCAAGTAGCAAACTGTCGCGGAGCGGGGCAGCTTCTTGTTGCGCTTTGAATAATCCTGAAATGCACCTTTATGAAGTACGGTTAGATAGCAGCGGCTACTAGAAAGGTTTGTAAGAGGTGAGGCCAATGGAAAAAAAATCCATCTTCGACGTCAAAAGGCCAAGCACGTCGCAGCGGCCCTTCTTGCGCTTATTTACGAAAGAGCCACGCCAAAACACGGAGAAGTTGGATGAGACCGTGAGTGCTTTCACATCTAGAGAGAAAGAGTCAAGCTTTCAAAGCAATGGCTGCTGTATGTAATCGTTTCATCCCTGGATCAAGACGAAGTCGTAGCTATGCAGTTTACAGTATCAAAAAGTTCCATCAAATAACCGCCCGTAAACCAGTTCCAAGTCGTACGAAGAGCTGTACCTACATAGGTAAAAAAAACCTACATATTGAGGGTTAATTGATGGAACTTTTGATAAACGTGAACCTGCATAGTTACCGACATTCGTTTTGGATTCCCAGGAGAAACGATTACTGTACAGAGCCATGCTGAAAGCTTGAGTCCTTCTCATCTAGATGTGAAAGCACTCCACGGTCTCATCAACTTCTCCGTGTTTGGCGTGGGTCTTCGTAAATCAGCGCAGGAAGGGCCTCTGCGACGGTGCTTGCCTTTGACGTCGAAAGCTGGATTTTTTTCCATTGGCCTCACCTCTTACAAACCTTTCTAGTAGCCGCTGCTATCTAACCGTACTTCATAAAGGAGCATTTCAGCTTATTCAAAAGGAACAAGAAAAAGGGTGTCAAAAATGTTCGTTTTAAACGACATAACTCTCTACCTTCGGCCACCAATTGTTGGGTGAGAACTTCAAATAAAGAGGAGAGTTGAACTGACACAGCCCACCACGAGGGAAACGCTAAGCACAGTACATCCTTAGCAGCATTAGACGTGGATCACTTACACCTGTTGAACAGAACGACATTCTAGGCTCAGATAGGGTTTATATTGGGACAAAGAGAAAATAGTGGGGAACGGAAACTCTATTCCAATCCTCAAAACAGAAACGATCCCCTTCGTAATGTTATATCTAATAGTTTTATTTCATCACCGTTTGAGCTATCAGATGCCTCTTCGTAAAAAGGACAGATCATTGATGTGTAGGAAGAACAGGTTCCTGAAGTCTTACTCACAGTACAAATGCTCGAGGAAGATCCTTCGCTGAATTTTTACTAAGCGAATTTCAGAGAGAACTCCTTGTTGTATGATGACAGGTACTATGCTCCGTTGAATAAACATAGAGTCGCTCTTGTAGTTGCTCATGAACTTGCTCATCAGGTTTGAATTTCATAAATTTAAGAGTGCTTTTTAGAGAGAGGACGTAACGTACCATAGAGGCTTTGGTCAAATTCAGGCAGCTGGTACTGAATCTAGCCGATATGATTGATAGAAAAAAGCCAACCAGTCTAGTGGGTGGGATTCGGAAGGGAGATTCAAAGGTTAGGGAAGAGAGATTCATGAGGAACTTAGCAATCCGGGTCGGAGAATAGAAAAATAAAAAGAAGTCTTCGCTGCTGATTAATCCCTTTGTGCAATGCGGCACGCATTCTGCTTCCATTCAGAATTGTAGTGGCTTATTGAATGCGATGAAGACCTGTACAATAACTTGCGGGGAGCAGCCGACGTACAATTCAGTGTTATCCTCACAAATGGAATCTGGTACCGATTTACAGTCCCGCGGGTAGAAGGCTTGGTTGGCCTAGGCGGCAGTCGACCCGGGATTCAAACCCAGTACTGCTCGAGCGGTGAGCGCGCCACTTTCCACTATCCCATCTTCTGCCCCGGCTCGTAGAATATTTCGAAATTTCAAAACGCCCGATTTCGAGGTGTAAAGCGCGGACCCTGCCAGAAAAGTAGATTTCTAAATATTAATTTATTGCTGTCATACAGAAACTTCATGAAATCGTGCTTCAGTGGTGTTGGCAACCTTGTTCACTTTAAGAAATGGTGATGATTTTTTGTGGTTGAACGAGGGTTTTGCAACTTTCATGGAATACATTGGGACCAAGGAGATTAGCGATGATAAATTCAGAAGTGTAAGAAAAATTTATATGTTACTGATTACTCATTCCTTCCAATGAACTAACATAAGTAACTCAAATGAGTGTGGACTACTTCAGAAGGACTATTTCCTACTGGACACCATTGGAGGCGCGTTGGAAGCGGACGCAGTAGCTTCTAGCCATCCGCTTTCCTTCAGTAATAAGACAAAGTGCAGAAGCTGTAGAAGCTTTCGACTATTATCACATACGATAAGGGAGGCGTCCGCATTCTTAACTAATGCTCAGGCTTTATTGGAGAGAATAATTTAGACAGGCCCAATTACGCTATGCTTAGCAGTCCTGAGGCCATGTTCTTGCCAGTAGCTGACTATACATTCCACATATTAGGTTGACCAGGAAGTAAGGGCACATTTTTCCAAGAAGTGGCTAATCCAAAGCAAATAACTGAAGGTGAATCCTGGCAACATTTCAGCGGCTCTCCATAGAAACCACCTGCAATAGAACAGGCCCTTAGTCGCAGTCGTTCCTTCATCTCAGGGAGCTTCATCCACTAGGATGTAGGAAAGCGCAGTCTGTCTCCAACTTAGCTTATTCTCCTAAAATAACAGGTGTCCTTTTCTCAGTATCTCGTCCCCCGCCCCCCTCCCGGGCACACACCAGAAGAATTTCATGCCAATAATGTTTCATGTTCATGTACTGGGATGGCCAATATGTAGTTGGTTTTTTATCCTATATTCAGTTAAATTTCTGCGTCCAAAGGGCAGAGTCTTCACCGATGACTTCTATATGTTGTCTGATAGAGAACTTCCTGCCCTATAATATTGTCTGCCTGACGTTGTTGAAAATCTATTGCCATTTTTTCAAGGGTTCAAAGTGGTATACATGTCGAAGTCGAGCAAATTCCACAGCCCTCCTCCATTTTTCACATCATCGAAGGAGCTGCAAACCGTAGAGAGCCCATGCCAGTAACTATACGCCGAACAAATCTTCAGTGCCGTTATAGGGCATACAAACGTTGGCAAATCCAAAACTTCAGTTCAGCCGAGGCCTATTGTGATCTGCTACGCTACTGGTTTTATTTGAGAGCCCAATGAAGCGGCCTATTTCAGGAGATCCATGCCAGAAAATGGGAAAATGGTAGAGCTCATAGAGAGTCTACATCCTCGTAGAGCATAAGCCGCAACTGATGGGAGAAGGCAAACTTGGACTGTCCTATGTCCCGCCAGTGTGTTCTTGTAGACCGCCACCTGGCTGAGAGGGCGGCCCCATTTGCGATGAAAAATTTATAGAGTCCTAATTACCATCGCTTAAAGAGCATAACCGCCACTGATGGGGGAGGTAAACTTGGTGCACGTGTTCTGTAGACCGCCACCTCTGAGAGGGCGCCCCATGCGATGAAATTTATAGAGTCCTAATTCACCATCTCTTAATAGCTTGCAGCAAGTGCGCATAATGCCAAAAGAGCTTTTCTTCGTCACACCCCGAAATAGTTTTGGGCTGCTTCTGTCTTGATTGGGTACCAAAAGGTGTTGTCAATATCCTCACTTGTGTCTGTCCCACACTGCACTTTGAGGAACTAAAAACTGACAAAAAATGAGATGAACGGGAAACTAAGCACATGGGCTGCACACAACTGAAGAAAAACGCCTTTATGGTCCAACTCGATAGCCGCTGGAACGTCGTAATATGGCGTCTTGGTACTAGAGCCGATATGCTGGCCCTCCTCCCGTCAAGTTCTCCGCAAAGGAAACCGCCTGCACATCTCTAAAATCAAGACATACTTCTCAGGAGGGATCCTATGCTGATGACGCGGTCCGCAAAGGATCCCATTTTTTGCTGGAGGAATGGCAAACCAGTTTACAATTGCACCACATAGATTTAATGGGGAAGCAGTGACCAAGTTGTATGTGGAGGTTATCCTTCCTCACACTAGCACTATCTTGGTTCCGCCCTTCGCCGTCAGAATGAGGGAGCGTCCTGGATTGTATGCCCCATACACCGTGTTCATCTATGTACTTCCAGCTCCTACCTTACCTGTTATGAAAGAGCTTCCGAACTTCAGACAACATTGCCTCCCGGTCAAATTTTCCCAAGCATAACCCTAAATGATCTGAAAGAGAACATCCGGGCGCCTGTAAATGTATTGGAGAAATCGCTCATAGAACAATTGTTGTAGGATGTAGCATTTTTAGCCAAGAAATTATGTGATACATCTTGATGTGATACATCATCCAAAGGGCAGTTTTTTTTGTACATATTATTTTGAACGTTTAACCTGCAAGGTGTGCCTTCGTTCCCATAGCAAAGTAGCCCAGTGGACTCCTGGTGATTATAATTTGTTGAATTTGGTGATATGAGAATTTCCAGCGATACATCAAGAAATTTTCGTACAACAACGCACAAGCTTCCGATCTGTGGGAGGTTTTTGACGAACATGTAAAAAATATAACAGGCCCCGACGGTAGTCCAATGAAAAACCACTGAATTCGCCTATCAGTGGACGACTCAGGTAGAAACTTTTGCTCATAACGATAGCTGCGCCTCTCCCCTTCTTCTCGAAATCTGCCATGTCTTTTTGAGTATTCCAGATGGGTTTCCCTACAGTCACTGTTGAGTCGTTCAATGCAACGACTCTTGAAAGTAACGCAACGTCGATACAAGAAGAATAAAGATGCTCAGGAGTTGGAAAAGTATCGCCATCCAAAATATGGGTTAGCAAAATTTTTGGAGCATTTCCATCTTCATATAACTGATTAGTCAGGTCTTCTGTTCTCATTTTTCCCATCACAAAGGAAGCACTTCTTTTATAGATTCCAAATGGGATATTCCTCTTTGTAAAATCAAGGAGCACGATAAGACAAAGCGTAAGAGCGGAACCTGGTTGAGCAGAGGTAGCGAATGTTTGATTACATACTGTACAGAGTAAGGTAACTAGGTCGAAAGGTCGGTCGGGTAGGGTCGGTTTTATTTAGAAGAACTATTCCTGCATTGTTTTTCCTTAAGCTTGATGCTACGCTTTTAGAACAAAAAATAGTAGAGTGGAGATACCTGTGGGGCAGTAGAAATCGAGCTTGTCCGCACTGTGAATAGTACGAGGGACTTGTTATTACAACAAGACAAGTGACTACGTGGAAGTAATGAAACAGGTGCTGATGAGGACGCAATGAGGCTGGCTGGTGCTTGGACACCCGCGACAGAGTGTCAAAGGAGTGAGTGGTTGGTTGGAAACGCCCCCTCGAGGGGTTCCTTCTCGCGATGTTTCCGACAGAAAAGATTCGCCGAACATGGAGCTAAAAGGGGCACTCCGCGATTGTTCAATCCAGTGTACACATAGCTGGTTGGAAATTTTGACAGTCAAGATGGAAGAAGGGTAGATGACTAAGATCTGCGAAGCAGCTTACGAAACAGCGGGAGCATCAGAAGAATGATTGGCCATCGTGCCTCAGCACATGTTCCCTTTCGCTGCGGAACAAATCCACTGAAAAACGTACATCCGGAAACGCGATCTGTTGTGTAGATTGAATAGTCTTCTTCTGTAGGAAAAATGCGCTGATATTCTAAAAATATTAGTCGCACCTGTGTAACATTTCAGTGCCTTGCATCTACTTTGGAGTCGTCTACGAAACGCTTTTTCGTCTTGATCTCGGCATGTTTTCATTTTTAAGAGGAACCGCTTTATCTTCACGTCGGCAATACTGATAAACCGGTCGTGGTGAATGCCGATCGGCACGGATTTTACCGGCAAAATTACGATGTTAATGGTTGGAAGAAAAATCACAGCACAGCTCAAGGAAGACCACAAGGTGCTTGTTTTTTTATAGACAGAAACTAGTGGTCATTTAATACTTATAGTGTAATACTGAATATTGGTATGTTTCTACAAAATTGCCCAGCGTAGGTACGAGTGCGTTTAGAATAGGCCTGAGCGCTCAGAGCATACGGTCACTTTTCGAGCGTTTTGAGCTACCGGAAAAGTGGAGGTGTCGATTCAACGCTTTGAGCATACGCTAGCGTACGTTAGTATTTTCAGTGATCAGCAAATGTATCGGACTAGCGTTCTGAGCGTACGGTGAGGTGCGTTTTCGTATGCTCAGAACACAGTATCGATACACTCTAAATCCCTGAGATGTGTCAGGCGTGCTATGTACTCCAGCAAAACGTGGCCAAATTGTTTCGGACTACTTTCATTGCACACGTCCGCGTTGCGTGTCCTCTGCTTCAACAAACGAAAACCATCGATGCACAATGTCTGTAACTCGAATATCCCAACGAGTCATCAAATATTCTTTGACGGCCGTGTAGTGCCACGCCTACTCCGTCTCTCAGGCGATAAGGACGTGTACCAGGAGTTTTCTTTACCAAAACGTTGAAAATGCTGGCGTAAGCTCAAAATGCTGACGCAGAGCCTGAACACACTGCGAGACTACTTCGTCTTAGAGAGCGGAATAAGTTCTCACACGAATCTTGTAGACTACTACTGAAACTCTCGCACAACCCTTTTAGGCTAGTGCTGGAGTTATCACACGATTCTTCTAGGCTAAAACTAACATCGAGAGTATTCCTAAGGAGGTCAAGAGAATCGGTCGCATAAACCTTCCCCCAAGGACGCTCATTGGTAGAAGGATTATAATTCTATTTAGGTGTATAGTCCCAGAACAAGAAACGCGATAATAAGTGATGCGTTTGCAGCGGCAATGGTTGACGAGCTCGAGTACGAGACTGTATTTGATCTACTCGAGTACGCTAAAAAAGAAGAGGTTTTGTTTTGATATTAACCACTGTCATCACATTGACTTTCTTTTATATAAGAAAGACTTTATAGGAATATTTGCCATGGGGTGAAATTATATCTGGATTCAATTCAATACTGAAATATTTTGGCAACGAACCTGAGTCGAAGTGGGCTAAAGTAAGTGTTACATGTTATCTACAGGGGTGTGAGGACACAAAAAGTATTATTGATTTTGTTTTAAGGATTACATGATGAGTATAATAAAACCGATGTATGACAAGAGCAGTATCGAGTTTATCGCCGAGAACTATAAGAACGATGACCTTTTCTTTCAAAAGTGAGTAGCAATTTATAAACCATAATTACACCTATAATAATGAACAGAATTAAAGGTAATTGAAGGGACTAACTAATCGGCGTCATGAAGGAGGTTGCCTTACTCTATGTTTTATACTCAACGGATCATTAGCACCATATTTTGGTGCACTGCACGAGCTCAGTTAGACGGAATATAAAAAGTGTCTGAATTCATCCTGCAAGATTACAAGTAATAAAAAGACGCGACCTGCGATAAGAG